ACACCTGACTGGGAAAGCTGGAGCAGGCCTGAATAACTACCTCAGGTGTGTTAATTGGCTGAATGCACTGTGTGACTGACTGTCACTCTAACCAATGGAGCAGCAAAGGCAGGATTAAGGGTAGTTGTTTACCCTGGGTTACATTAAGCCTGCAATTAATCTGTTAGGTGTTGCATAGACAATTTGAGATTTGGCGACTGCAGGACTTTCATCACCAACATTATCTTCTTTTTCCATTTACTTAATTTTTCTGCCATACTTCTTCCTCCCATCAATATTATCCTGTCTAAAGTTTTGTTTCCATTGCCCATTGATCTTTCATCATGTAATGTCACCATAATGAAATAAAATCTAAGTTTTCCAGATCTGACACAGCACATGTAATTCTGGTCAGAGATTTACATTGTCTTATCAAAGCATGGGATTTAAATAGTTCTCTAAAACTGCAATGAAATAAAGAAAACAAGAATTGGACAAACAAATTCTAATTTGATATGAATTTTATCCAATACAGAGTTCTCATGTGACTTCACACTTCCGTGAACTTTGTAACTGACAGCTATCTTGACAGGCTGTGGAGTTTCTATGACGGCAATAAACAAGCCAGAGCTCACCTAGTTCCTATTTAACCTAATATAAACAATATAAGTTCATTACAACTGCTTGAGTACTCTACCCACCTGTGACAAATATCAGTAATATTTACTGTAGTTCTTACTGCCGAACTAGCAAAACAAGCTTAGTTAATATAACTGGGTGCACTATGCATTGTGCATGGGGTAAGCATAGCGTGCATCCTTACCAGGTGTAAGTAGAGGGACCTTAAGGCAGACTTACCATACATAGTAAGATGACACAATCACTCTGGTTCAAACTTGTGGGAACTATGTATAGAGGGATTATTTATTTGTAAACACAGTAGCTGTGTGTGCAACTTGACTGCAGAAAGAGGAGACTGGCTTTTACATCCCTACTGGTTGCCATGGTTACCCACATTTATCTTGCTGTTTTAACATTAGGTAGCATGTCGGCGTACTACAGCTGCTGGTCACAGCATGATAAGTTATGCTACCTAATTGACATTAGTGACCCATTAATGACCTCACACATTACATCAGTGTTTCTCAATTATTTTCTGTTATGCCCCTTCAGGAACCATCATTTTTTTTCACGTGCTTTATTGTTAATTTTGCATTAACAATAAAAAGATGGGTTTCATCTATTTCCTGGCCTTTTCCTGTGAGCTACAGTTACTTGCTTATGATTGAATATAAAGACCAGGCTGAGTTTTTGATTTGGGTTTTAAATACGAGTAAAGTTGGGTGAGAATAAAGTCATAATTTTATAACTTTTCACCACACTGCACTAAATTGCTGAATACTAGGGGTCTTATAAGGTTATAGTTGGCACTGGTTTAGCTAATTGCTAAATGCTAAATGTTTTAGCAAATCAGAAGCAAATTTTCAGCCCCAGGACTTTAAAACGACTGCTTAAACAACTTTTTATTTAATAGAACAAGACCTGCTGGTTACTGTTGGATTTAGACAAATAAAATGTTAAACTTCTTTGCTCGTTGTTTTCCTCTAGTCTCCCGAGTCCAGGGTTCTGCATGTACACAGTGGAAAACACACAGAGAACAAGAATTCACCATTCGACTTCAGACATATCCAGAGTTTTATTCAGACAGTTAAATGCACAGAAAAACAGATCAGCATCACACCCAAAACAAGAAGTCCAAACCACAAAACAGACATTAAGTACCTGAGAAAAGTAGAAAAATGAACAAAATACAAAAATAAGAGAAAAGCAAAGGTGCCTTTGGGAACTGCTCATGCGGCTGGAAAACGAAGCAATTCAGCTTGCTGCTGAGAAGTGGAGACTTTTATTAAGAGGTGTCGTCCTAATTTTAATATATGCATTGAAGGTGTGTCCTCTCCTTCTAAACCTCTAAGCAGTTTCAAGTTACTTAGATGGGTGAACCAATAATTTTGTTGCCTTCTTTGAAACCTATTCAAAATCAAAGATAGAGAGAGAGAACAAAGGTCACTCAAAACAGGATGTCTCATGCCAGTTACATCTGTTATCTCTCCCAGTTCCTCCCTTTCTAAACAAAGTTGTTTATCTTATACATAAATTATATATGTAAGGTTTCCAAAATACCCAATTTTGTTTTATTTGCAGATGACATAAACATTTTTTGTACAAATGAAACTTTATGGCAGCTTTTGCTAGAAATGAATTTAGTTATGTAAACTGAAAACGTGGTTTGATATTCCAAATTATCACTAAATTTAGATAAAACCAAGTTTATATTATTTGGGAATTGTAAAGGGCATAGCGATTTACAAATAATAATTGATAATGTGACTGTGGAGAGAGTGACTGAAATTTGGTTTTTGGGAGTATTGATTCATAAGATCTGTTGGAAACCTCATATTAAATATATTCAATCTAAAATGGCTAGAAGTATTGCAGTTCTCTCTAATGCTAGAAAATTTTTAAACTCCTCTGCCCTTCATATCTTTTACTGTTCACTTATTTTGCCATATCCAAGTTACTGTGTGGAAGTTTGGGGCAACACTTACAAAACTTCACTTCAACCACTACGCACGTTACAGAAAAGAGCCATTCAAATAGTTCACAAGGTTGATTTTTATTGTCAGACCAACAATTTATTGATAGATTCTCATTTCCTGAAACTCCCAGATTTGGTAGAGTTTCAAATTGCACAGTTTATGTATAAAGTTAGAAACAAACTATTACCAGAAAATATTCAAAAAAGAGAAAACCTCAACTTCAGAACTTTGAATGTTCGAACAATGAAAAGAATGTGCATGTCATGAAGTGCTGATTGAGAGGTGGTGAGGATGAACGCCGAGACCCAGGTAGTGAAGAAACTGTTGAATTTAATTATGACGCTCAAACAGTCCAATACAGGCGGCAAAGCAGAAGGTGTAGCACACCAGCTAAATACCGGTAGCAACTGACGACAGACGGAACATGGAGCAAGCTAACCAGGACTTAAACAGTTCTACTGGAGAGCCGACACAGACAACAACTGACATAAGACGAGGACCCGACCAGAGACAAAGACAGCAGGTGGGTTTAAATGCACAGGGAGGGTAATCAGGAAAACTAGACACAGCTGGGATCAATCAACAGGGAGGACAGGACATCACAGAGACTCACAGGGAAACAAGGACACAAGAAAAACCAAGAAATAAATACACAGAAACACAGATCTGTCATTGATGTGAAGATCTGGAATAAACTCACTAAAGAGCTGAAGCAAAGTCCAAGCATGAGGTATTTTAAGAAAAGACTCAAAATGGTTATTCAAAAGTATAAGGATGAACATGGGTGATGAATTTGGCTGGGAATTACTGCATTGTGGATGACTTGGGCAATTGGGTGTAGGTTTGTGTGTGTAAATGTATGTTGCTGTGTAAATAGGTATATATTATTTATGTATATATGCAGATAGATGCATATGTACTGTATATGTGTGCGTGTAAAGAATTACTGTCATCTGGTTCAGGAAATATTACTATAGTCATTATTATTTATTATTATTGTTGTTTATTATTATTGTTTTATTATGTTATTACTGTGGATATATTATGTTGGAAAGGATACTTGAAACAGGAATACTATGCTATGAATTAATGAATGGAAAAGGGGTATGATTATATAAATTAAACTTCATCATACTCCTTTTCAGACTCAGTCACTGAATAAGTGGTGTATTTGAGTATGTACAGTACAGACCAAAAGTTTGGACACACCTTTTCATTCAAAGAGTTTTCTTCATTTTCATGACTATGAAAATTGTAGATTCACACTGAAGGCATCAAAACTATAAATTAACACATGTGGAATTATATACTTAACAAAAATGTGTGAAACAACTGGAAATATGTCATATATTCTAGGTTCTTCAAAGTAGCCACCTTTTGCTTTGATTACTGCTTGGCACACTCTTGGCATTCTCTTGATGAGCTTCAAGAGGTCGTCACCTGAAATGGTCTTCTAACAGTCTTGGAGGAGTTTCCAGAGATGCTCAGCACTTGTTGGCCCTTTTGCCTTCACTCTGCGGTCCAGCTCACCCCAAACCATCTCGATTGGGTTCAGGTCCGGTGACTGTGGAGGCCAGGTCATCTGGCGCAGCACCCCATCACTCTCCTTCTTGGTCAAATAGCCCTTACACAGCCTGGAGGTGTGTTTGGGGTCATTGTCCTGTTGAAAAATAAATGATGGTCCAACTAAACGCAAACCGGATGGAATAGCATGTCGCTGCAAGATGCTGTGGTAGCCATGCTGGTTCAGTATGCCTTCAATTTTGAATAAATCCCCAACAGTGTCACCAGCAAAGCACCCCCACACCATCACACCTCCTCCTCCATGCTTCACGGTGGGAACCAGGCATGTAGAGTCCATCCGTTCACCTTTTCTGCGTCGCACAAAGACACGGTGGTTGGAACCAAAGATCACAAATTTGGACTCATCAGACCAAAGCACAGATTTCCACTGGTCTAATGTCCATTCCTTGTGTTCTTTAGCCCAAACAAGTCTCTTCTGCTTGTTGCCTGTGCAGTGGTTTCCTAGCAGCTATTCTACCATGAATGCCTGATTCACACAGTCTCTTCTTAACAGTTGTTGCAGAGATTTGTCTGCTGCTAGAACTCTGTGTGACATTGACCTGGTCTCTAATCTGAGCTGCTGTTAACCTGCGATTTCTGAGGCTGGTGACTCGGATGAACTTATCCTCCGCAGCAGAGGTGACTCCTGGTCTTCCTTTCCTGGGGCGGTCCTCATGTGAGCCAGTTTCTTTGTAGCGCTTGATGGTTTTTGTGTCTGCACTTGGGGACACTTTCAAAGTTTTCCCAATTTTCCGGACTGACTGACCTTCATTTCTTAAAGTAATGATGGCCACTTGTTTTTCTTTACTTAGCTGCAACAATACAAATGTTAACACTCTATTCAGTAGGACTATCAGCTGTGTGTCCACCTGACTTCTGCACAACACAACTGACGGTTCCCAACCCCATTTATAAGGCAAGAAATCCCACTTATTAACCTGACAGGGCACAGCTGAGAAGTGAAAACCATTTCAGGTGACGACCTCTTGAAACTCATCAAGAGAATGCAGAGTGTGTGCAAAGCAGTAATCACAGCAAAAGGTTGCTACTTTGAAGAAACTAGAATATAAGGCGTATTTTCAGTTATTTCACACATTTTTGTTAAATATATAATTCCACATGTGTTAATTCATAGTTTTTGATGCCTTCAGTGTGAATCTACAATTTTCATAGTCATGAAAATGAAGAAAACTCTTTGAATGAAAAGGTGTCCAAACTTTTGATCTGTACTGTGCATTTGATAGTAAGGTATTGTATTTATTTATGTACACTTTGTTGGTGAAATGTCTGTCTGAAATAAATTAAGCGAATGAATGAATATTAACTAAACTGTATAGAAAATGTGTCTGAATAGCCTATGTTAATATAATTATAGTTTGACAGGTAAAATTAGTAAGTGACAGATTTCTTTTTAGTGCTGTCAGTCAAAAAAAAGTACAGCGCAACCTCTGGTCCATATTTCTTTACAAAACCTAATAAAAAAAAACATTTTGCATATACTACACTGAAATTTGACACGTTTCTCTTTCCTGTTAAGAGATGTATCCTTCACCTTCTGTTTCTCTTACTACTGGCTCCACTTAAAGATGAACAGCAGAGCTCTCTTCTGGATGGTATTAAAACTACAGTACTGAAAGAAGATCTAAGACACGTTATTAATCGATTGAAATGAGTTTTAATCTACCAAACCATTATTCAACATTTAATTGTAAGTTGATTAATTGATTGCATGCTTAGTCTAGTACTAGGGATGCAAACAATCCCTGTCACTATGTCACAACATAGTGACAGTTTTAACAAATACATGTAATTTTGTTTCTTTATAAATGTTACATAGTGTGTAACTTTATATCCTGCTCGCATAATGTACCATGTTTAAGTTCAGTACTTGTAATTGACCCTGAAGTATAAAGTCCTCATATTTATGATAATTCTGTAATATCTGAGGCAAGGAAAGTTTCCACTAACTTATAATTTCACAGGTGGGGAGTACCCCTTAACTTTTTCAGCTAGCTGGTTTTAGAGTCACTGGTCAGAAGAGAGATCCTTCTGGACTGTTTTTGCTTTACGTTTTTGCTTTATTGGTCTGATTGAACCAAGCAGTTTTCATGTGGTTTTGTCTCATTGAATGAGTTCCTACATAATCACAGTTTTTCTGTTATGAATCCGCAGCTGATCAGTGATGGCAGTGTAGTGTATGCTGAGGGCCTTTGGGACCATGTTACCATGGACATCCAGGAACTTGGCTTCAAGGCTGGTGATGCCATCGAAGTGATTGATGCCACAAACAAGGAGTGGTGGTGGGGCCGCATCATGGACAGTGAGGGCTGGTTTCCTGCTAGCTTTGTACGGGTGAGGGGATCTCTGCTGGCAGTATCATTTCATTGTGATTGCTAAAACAACACATATGGAGTCTCAGCTTATTACTGATGTATCAATTGTTTGTTCAACATGTTTGATACAAGTAAAAACATATAAGGTAAGTTATATATTTTGCCCATTAAGGATTTTATAACTGTATTCTCTTAAGCTGCGTGTGAACCAGGATGAACCTATGGAGCAACTTTCAACCCATCTGGAGGAGTCCCAATGTGGAGATGAGGATGGAACGGATTTAGGTTTATTAGGCCCCGGGTTACCCTGCAAAGAACAGATGAGAGCCAACGTCATCAATGAGATCATGACCACAGAGCGAGACTACATCACACACCTGAAAGACATCTGTGAGGTCTGAAACTAGACCAACTTTAATTACTTCTGGATTTGCACTCATTTCATCTAGTTACATTTTTTATATAATAACTAATTTCTACAATTATGCAAATTACATTGTTACTTATTGATTTGAAATATGTTTCTATATTTGAGAATTAATCATATTAAGTAATTTAAATGTATTCTAGGTACATTATTTCTGAGCTTTTGTTTAGTTTATTTTTATACTACAAAGCTCTGTCATTAGTGAAAAGAGATCATTTAACATGCTAAAATCTGAATAAAATGAAACCCAACACTTTTTAAAATGGTACTTCCTGTGGATAGACATAACTTCCTGGGTCATAGCAATAGAGTACAAGCCAAGTGTATGTTTCAGCAATAGAGAGAATGGGCTTTAAATTTAGAGCGCTGTCATATGTTTTTTACTCTGAATTTTCAGAGCAAAAAGCTCAGTCCAGTCCAGCCATCTCTGATCCTTATGTTTTTCTCAGGGTTACATCAAACAGTGCCGTAAGAGGACAGACATGTTTACTGAAGAGCAGATTAGAACCATCTATGGAAACATTGAAGAGATATACAGATTCCAGAAAAAGTTCCTGAAGGGCCTGGAGAAAGAATTCAACAAGGGGCAGCCCCATCTTAGTGAGATAGGCTGCTGTTTTCTTGAACATGTAAGATAGATGTTCTAATTTACTTTTAAAGCAGCTTGAAATCTTTTGACTTATTCCATTAGGATATGCATTTAAGATTTGTCTTGAATCATTTGTCTTCATGTCTTGATGTCCAGCAAACAGATTTCCAGATTTATTCAGAGTATTGTAATAATCACCCCAACGCCTGTGTCCAACTCTCCAAGCTGATGAAAGTCAACAAGTACGTGTATTTCTTTGAGGCCTGTCGATTGCTGCAGAAGATGATTGATATTTCTTTAGACGGCTTCCTACTCACTCCAGTGCAGAAGATCTGCAAGTATCCATTACAGCTGGCTGAGCTCCTCAAATACACCAATCCTCAGCACAGGTGACTGGCTTTAATTGCGGTTTACAATGAGCCAATATTCTACATCACAAACATTAACTTTCATGTGTGTCATCAGAAAAATCTAAAAACCCTGTAGTTTAGATTGGAGTTTGCTTCTTAATGTTGTACTAAAATACACTATAGCTACACTTGATATTTACAGTAATTATTTATATGACCTGTTCCACAGTACTTCATATATGCCTTTGGAAAAATGTCCTTGCTCCAAATTACCTGAGTATGATGGAAGAATATTTGTTTGTGTTTGAGGGAGATATTTATTAGGGATGCACCATATTGGGTTGATATTTCATATGCCTTTTGTGCAGCTCTCACTTACCAACATAGATTTTAGCTGACTTTGATTTCTCTTTGAAAACCAGAATAACTGAATAATTGCACTGATACTTTCTGGGGAAATAGAAAATTGAAGTGGGTTAATATGAAATATAGTCTGCAATGTTTCTCCCCAGTGCAGTGGTTTCAAACTTAAATCCCCATGGAGCAGTCTCCTGCAACTTTTAGATGTCTCTATGCTTCAACACAGCTGGTTCCAATTTTAGCTCATTTAATTTATTTTTGCACTCCCACAAAGTAAACTTGCCAACTTGTTTAGAATAGTTAAACTACTCACGGCTTTTAGCCTATATGGTGGACTGCCTATGCGTCCCTACCACTGGTTTTAACAAGTTTTCTGGTGGAAACCCTCTATGGTCATTATTCAGTGTTTTCCTGGTGAGTCTTCAAAAATAATGACCTTTAAGTAGGTACTTTTCATTAACTTCACATTTCTGTTTCCTAATTTTTTTATTTTTTTTTTTAATTTCTCTTGGATTTTTAGGGACTACAAGGATGTGGAGGCAGCCTTAAAAGCCATGAAAAATGTCGCCAGGATGATCAATGAGAGGAAACGGCGCCTTGAGAACATTGACAAAATTGCCCAGTGGCAGAGTTCCATAGAAGACTGGGAGGTTTGAAGTGATAGATTGTTCTGAAATCTGTTGTATGATACTGTAAAGTGTACCTCTGACAGGTATGAGAAGCGATTAGCAGCCGTGTAAGTCTGTTCTGATCCATGCAGGGTGAAGATGTTCTGGTCAGAAGCTCTGAGCTTATCTTTTCTGGGGAGATAAGTAAACTATCCCAGCCACAAACTAAGAGCCAGCAGAGAATGTTTTTTCTCTTCGACCATCAAATGGTTTATTGCAAGAAGGTACTTTTGTAATTTACTTTTTCTTAGCATATGATTAATTAATTAGGAACATTGCTTTCTTGGCCTCGTGTGTATAAAATCCAGTATCAAATATAATTTTCGCTCCCAGGAGCTCAACAAAAGTTATTTTCCTATGGTACCATGCCACCAGTTGCAAAATGTCTTCAAAGACTTTTGAGAAGTCAACTATTCAAGTAAAAAGCGGTATCATAATAAAGTAGAAGCAACCAGGTAGGACAACAACTCATTGCATTACATTAATGGCATATTAAATCACAAAGTAGGGTAAGCA